ATAATAATAATAATAATAATAATAACAACAACAATAATAATAACAATAATAACAATAATAATAATGTACATTTGAAATGTACATCGAATATATATATTGTTTTTTTATATTATATTATAAACATGCTATTGTCATGTTGCAGGTATACTTCAAATTTATTATTTAATAATCATAGTCCATGAAATATTTTTATTATGCTTTTTAATTTCGTTAAATGGTAATATATGTAAGTTACAAGTTATTAATTATATGGCATCGCATGTAATATGCTTTGTCTATATTCGTTTAAGTTTCATGTATTTGTTTTACTAACAATTACTGACAATATGTATTTCTTTTTGTTGTGATACATAAGACTTTTTGTTTTATTTACATGCATTCATTTTAAGAAAAAAAAAGTAGATTACCTAGACGCCTTGGAAGACGAGACGGGAGCCGCCTCTGGCGGTTCTTCTTTTACTCTCGGCCTGGCTGACTGACGTGTCGTACTAATGGAAAATGCATATTTTGTGTTATGATTTTTTAAATACTATTTTACCAGGCTTCTAATTTGTTAGAAGATAATATATTAACTAAAATGTCTACTTTAATTTATATGTGTAAATATATATACATATATATACATACATATATATATTTAATATTCTTTCATATTAAAAATCAAAATATAAAGTGTTTATCTCTAAAATAAAATAAATAAAGTTTATATATATATATTTATTATTTATAATTGTTCGATACAACCGAAACTATTATTATATTATTTAACGAATTTATTTTTTTTAGATTTAATCATTAAGTACGTATGAAATACGTAGAAGATTTTATATTAGTTCGCACATAAAAACTAAAAAGGATTTTATTTATTATATAATATATATACATCCAATGTACATACATTTACAAAATGATTATGAAAATGATTTTTATTTTCGTCTTCATTTTAATTATACGATAAAATATATATTTTTAGATAAAATGTATTAAACACGTCTAAGCATTTTTAATTTAGCGTTTACAAAGATTTTGTATAAAATTATTGAAATGAAAATCGTATAACTTCGTATAATGTATGCTATACGAAGTTATTACGACATTATTAAATTTATATATATATATATATTTTTTTGCTACACAACAGTGCTAATATTTCACATATTTCTTTTTTCTTTTTTTTAATGACACTATCGAACGATGTGAAATAATAACATTAAAAATAGGAATTAAAATCATCGGCTTTTCTATACAACAGAATTAAATGATTTTCCTATCGACAATGTATGAATGTTTAATATTTTATAATAACATAGAAAAAAAATAAAAAAACAATGTTCTTTTTTCCTATGAACGTAAATTAATTTCAAATAGATTTTCTAATGGTTTCTTTTACATTCAAATGAAGAAGTAAAAATTGTCTATTCCTAACTTGGTCATGTGTGTGTATATATATATATATTATTTAGTAACTTAATACTAATTATATATTACAGTTTATTTTGTGTACTGTTGTCTCATTTGTATATACCATTGGTATATAATAAGAAAATTCATTATCGACAAGTATCGATTACCCAATACAGCAAAAGAATTATTTTGTACTATCAAATTCAGGCTGTTGATATATCTCTCATTATTTTTTAATAATATGTCTCTAAATGTTAATGAGTTTATTTATAATAATATGTGATTTTATATCTTTCTATTAAGAAAATGATAAATAAATAAATACATTTTATTTTAACCAGCCAGAATTTGACACATATGCGATGATGCATTTTTAGGATATTTTAAATCCTAATCGTATTGAATAATATTCGATTCTATTATAATCGAGCATATAATAATATTTGTACGCTCGACAACGAACGCATTTAATACGAGAAAAGTTCGCAAATGCTGAAAATTCATTCGTTCAAAATATTAACACTGACTTATAAAAAAAGTCATTCTGTGCAAATTATTAATACAACGTATTAATATATATGTGTATAAAATACAATTAAATGCTAAGTTTCTTCTAAGTTTTTTTTCATTTTCACATTTGTATTGATAACTTATAGAAACTTTTTCAAATCGATTCTTTACATACGTGTCATTATTCGCATGTAAAATAACACACACGTATGTAAAATAATATTATTTAATTTTAAGATTTTAAATAATTAAAACTTGACTTTTCAATCGATAATAAATAAACCCGCTATATTGAATTTAATCATAATGAATATGGTTCTCATGTATTATAACTCGCAATGCAGCTTAAATGAAATTTTCAAACATAGAATTAATTAATAATGTCTTCCTAAACATTGATAAATGTAATATTAGTAAAATCATAATTTGAAGAGCAAGAATACTCTTTTTCTTATTATTCTAGAAACAATCATAATTCCAAATATATCAACGTATATAGTTAGGTTTGTTGCTTAAGATGTATATGTTTTGTTTTGCACACGAATTTTTATACATTTTAGTTGTAGTGTGCATATTCTCTTGGTATATGAAAGATGGTTTGCGAGTTAATCAATATTTTTTTCTCTCTTTCTTTTGGTTTTCTTTTGACCAAGTTATTTAAAATATTACATGCTATAATTAATTCCAATACAAATTTGCAAGATAAATAATTTTGCTGTAAAATAATGCTCTCTTACCTTTCTTCTCTGCTTCTTTCTCTGTACTCCCGATCTCTTTCTCGATCACGCTCTCTTTCTCTGCTGCGTGATCTTTCTCGAGGATACGGCTCACTATAATAACGTTCCCTATCACGGTCACGATCTCGTTCTCTTTCACGATCACGTTCTCTATCCCGTTCTCTCTCCCTGTCTCTGCTACGTTCTCTGTATTCTCTATCGCGACTTCTAGATCGTTCACGGCGTCTTCTATGACTGCGATCTCTCTCACGGGAACGAGAACGTTCTAAAAAGAAGAAGAAAAATAAATAAATTTATTCTTAGCATTGTTACGTTTATAATGATCGATGAAAACAATATCAAGTAGTTTCTTGCTTTAATTTCTCTCTCTCTTTTCTCTTTATATTTTATTATTATTTATTTATACTCCGTCCCTTTCGGGTTTGGAGGGCTCTTTTCTTTTTATATATATTTAATAATTAATATAAAATATTGTATATATATATATATATATTACTCACCTCTGCGTGCAGAACCATAACTCTTAGTTTCAACACCCCGTAGAGTATCCTGTAGTGAACTGATTAATATTTTGCATCTATCATCTGCAGCTACCTTAGACTGTTTAATTAAGGAAATAGCAGTAACTAAGGTTTCAATGGCGCTGGCGTATTCTCCTGCTGCAGCATCCGATACTGCTCTAGCTATGGCAGAAGATGAGACTGTTCTATTGCGTCCCATTATTTCTTCAAATTCCTGATCAGTGAGTGGAGGAGGACCCTCGGGACGATGATCAGGCCCTGGTGCACCATAAGGTGGCTGAAAGTTAATTTAAATGTAGATAGATTAATATATTTTTTGAAAAGTATAAATATTTTATAATTAAATAAATTATACCTGTGCTGCGGGTGGCCCATAGCCATGAGGGGGTACGTGCGGTGGTCCATGCGGTGGACCATGGGGTTGCCCATGAGGTGGTCCATGAGGAGGTCCATGAGGTGGGCCATGAGGAGGACCATGAGGAGGACCAGGAGGTCCTGGAGGATGTTGCCCGGGATGTTGATGAGGTCCTTGTGGGAAGAATGCAGGATTAACATGTGGTGCTGGTCCTCCTGGTGGTCCTTGAGGTGGACCCTGAGGTGGACCTCCGTGTCCAGGAGGAGGGCCGCCTGGACCTGGTAATATTCCATATTAATATTCTTTTTAAGATATAAAGGGACATATTATTAATTTCTATACACTTTTAGGAGGATTTATATATATATGCCTTTCCATCGTTTACTACATTTCTAATTTTTATATTACCCTAATATCTTCTTTTTTAGTTAATTACATCAAATTATATTTGTTAAAACATTCATGTTATTAATTTAACTTTCTGTAAAAAAAAAAAAAGAAAATAAATTAAAAGTAATAGAAAATATCTCTATTGCACAAAACAAAATATTAATATAATTAATTAAATAAATGATATTATTAAATTAATTTTATAAATTGGACTATATAACTATTTGATTTTAAGTATACAATTGTTTGAAACACCTTGTATCTCAATGCGCATGTTAAAAATGAATATTTCCCTCAATATCATGCACTACTATAATAACTAATAAAGAATGATTTAAATAACACTTTATGAACGTTTCAAAACTCTCACCACCCATAGAACCTGGAGGAGGTCCTCTCTGTGGTGGCCCTTGGCCAGGTTGCGGGCCTTGCATATGTTGATGCTGAGGGAAACCTGGTGGTCCCTGAGGCCCATGATGCATTCCTATGCACATTCAATAATTTTGTCAGCATAAATTTTTGGAAAAAAAAAAAAAAAAAAAATAAATAAAAAATAAAAAAAGAAATAAATAAAAAATAAAAAAATAAAAAAT